CCCCAAAACCCCAAAACCCCAAAACCCCTTGCTTGAAAAATAGAACTGAAAAAGATGGTTGGTTTGATAATAAATGAGGAAGTTAATTTAATTTATAGATATTTCGCAAAAAATGGATTCATGAGGATTAACTTCTACAATTAAGGTTACTTGAACTTTATATCAAACGGAAAAACATAGATATAACAGTTATGAACCTAACTTGTATTACTAGAACTAGAAATAGGATGAAACAGCACCTTCATTATTAATTGCTAATAATTCACTCAACACAACGCATAACTGATAATAGCAAGCATTTAAATTGAGAGTGAGAGAGAGTCTTCATTTTTATGAGCTTCTCAAGTATGCTACTTTGTTCTCTATAGTTAAAGTGAAAGTAATATACCAACAGAGGTTTCACTATTCAACTCTTGCTTTGAGTAGCTAGGGAGTGCAAACAGCATAATAAACTCCTTGTATTTCATTGTTTTCAGTATATTGGGAGCATCTACAAAGGAAACATTCTCATAAATCCTTCAGGATTCAGCGCCAAAAACAACTATGGAATTCCCATCGACTGAGAGAAAAATGAATCAGCAAGACACACTAGTTACATCATCTTCTGCTATTCTTTCTTAACATATTGCTGATTAAGCGTGGTGTCTCTATTTCAAAAACAACTTTTTGATGTATTGCAATCAAAAGCAAGTTCATTAATGCATTGAAAATCACCAAGGATAAAGCGAAAATAATACACCATTCACAGAGGATAATAATGCCACCAGGATCCATCTGATCCAGTTTGTATGTTCCATCAGTTTGAGAAATTCGACAAGATTTCATGAAATTGACTAGCTCACACAGCTTATGCCTTGAATTCAAATGAACGAGCGAATGAAATAATAATCAATTCCCCGATTTCAATGCAATTTTATGTACCAGATTGTGTAATCATAGCAGGTAACTGCTTGCCCCAATTAAAGTATCAATAGACTATTTCATACTCCTTGACTTGCTCATTTATTATGTTTGCTAATCTCAATTTGAATTTTGGCGCTCTTATTTAGGAAATCCGTTCCTCAGAATGATATCTTAATTACTACCGGCCGGAATCAGTATAAGTTCGCATTTCAATTAAAAGTTATCAAATTCAAATTCAAATTTAAAATGTTACACCTGGCAATGGTATGTCTAACCATAAGCACTGTAGCTGGAGGGGATGTATTTTATAGTAAATCCTCTACTCCAAAACCTTATATCAAGAAATATTCAGACTGGATGGGATATATTCTTCCTTCAACACCTATAACGAATCTCTCCATTCCTGGCACTCATGACACCTGCGCAAAGACAGGAGGAGCTGCCTTTTAATGCTAATCTTGGACTCTCAAAGATCAATTAGAAGCAGGCATCAGGTTCCTCGATATCAGGGCCAGACACATCAACAATGGACTTGCAATTCATCATGGAAGTGTCTATCTTGGTACGGACTTTGACACAGTTCTTAGCACGGTGACCTCGTTCTTGAGAGTATAGATTAGAGAAACTGTGCTCATGAGGGTAAAAAAAGAACATACTGAATAAGGGTGCACTCGAGCATATTATCAAACAGTAGAGGCAAAGCTTGCCGCCTTTAACTCTTTCATTTACAGAGGTTCGAGCAGTATGGATTACCTGACTCTTGGTGACGCCAGAGGAAAGATAGTCATTCTCTATGATGAATGGAGCTCTTCTACTGTGGGATATCCTTATTTTGGGATGGCGATAGCTGATGATTATGCAGTTTATGAAACTTGGCTATCAAAAGAGAACAAAAAGAAAAGTGTTTCGGATAACATCATGGGAGCAATTTTGATGACTAAGCCTATTATAAATGGTTATGAATACCCTGAAACCAAATGGCGTTGTACCTTCTTGAGTGGATCTACAGGTGTTTCCCCAGAGATGTGGGGAAAGAAGTTCAACGAGCAAATCTAGTTTTATCGAGGAAGGCTGGGGATTGTAGTATTTGATTTTCCTGGAGAAGATGCAATTGAACATGTTATAAGTCAGAACTTTATCTTTCAATCAGGTTAAGCTAATTCACCAGAGTGGAGGACTCTCTGGGGTGGACTTTGGGGTGATTTAAAGGCAGAGGTTACAACTCGTGATGGAGAATTTGCATGCGGTGCTAGAATGAGGGTAGAGGCTAAGGGCAAATCTGATGATACTGCCGCCAACGGACTTGAACTTGTTACTTGTAAGAGAGACAAATGGGATACCCAATCATCGCTAATGGTAGAGAAAGGTAACTGGGGAGATTGGTACACAAAAATGTGTCCCAGGGGATAGTTTATTGTTGGAGGCTAGGTTAGATTCTAAGATGCCTAAATTGATGGAAGTGATACAGCATTGAACGGCCTCAAGATTAGTTGCAAGAGTCCTCAAGGTGGTGAACCAGCTTTCTAGGAAGTTCATGCTGGATATTGGGGTGAGTGGAAAGCTGCCTACATCTCAAAGACTAAATATGTGTGTGGTGCTCGCGCAAGATTTGAAGGTAACCAACTTGCAGGAGATGATACCGCACTCAATGGAATTACATTCAAATATTGCAGTCTCTATTGAAGCATTAAGACTTTGAAGCAGCCAAAGCTGTGAGTAAGATGCCTTAGCTCTAATAATTCATTTAATAAGCTGAATTGAACTTCTATTTTGGAATTTGTTAATAGAACTTCGAAAAAAAATCGAAATTTCAATCACGGGGTTTTGGGGTTTTGGGGTTTTGGGG